AAATGGATGAAAGCACAGACATAGCAGATAATGCCAATTTAATGTGCTTTGTAAGATATTATTATAAGGACACAATTCATGACGATTTATTGTTTTGTAAACCACTTCCAACAAGAACAACGGCTGACAAAAGTTTTAGTTTAATCAATAATTTTATAATTCAGAGTGGTATTAAGTGGATAAAATGTGTTTGATTGAGTACCGATGGTGCTCGCTCAATGGCAGGTTCCCATACACAGGAGTTAACTTGTGGGTACATCAAGTTGAGAAGAGAAATTATAAGTCTTTCTCTACTTCAATAGAATTACAAAACTAAGATGAAGGTAATATTCCAGATGAGATTTCCTCATCAATCAAAGAGCATCTTTTGGGCTAAAATCATGCTTGAAGGAATATTTTCCTCCAATTGACAGCAGTAAAAGGTGTATCAGGAACCCTTTTACTGTTGACATGGAAAATGAGGAAGGATTATAACTCAGTGAATCAGAAATTGATTCTATTATTGAACTGTCCTTTGACACTGCACTGAAAGACCATTTTAGTCAAGTCTTGTTAATTAATTTTTGGCTGAGCTGTCATGCTGAGTATCCAAATTTATCAAAAAAAGCTGTGAGATTTCTTATGCCCTTTGTCATGACTTATGAATACAAATCAGGCTTCTCAACATTGGTTTTCTTAAAAAACAAGTACAGGAACAGATTAGATGTTGAGCCAGATTGGAGGATCAAACTGACTTCTTTTCCTCCTGATTTGAAGTTGCTGTGTGATGAAAAAAGCATCATCCTTCTCATTAGATAAGTTTATCTATTTAGATATTTATGGAGGCTGGGCCTCAATAAAAATTACAAAATAAACTGGTCCCTAGTTGGAAAAGTTTGGGAATGCTGTCCTAGATCATGAGACCAAGACAGATAAATTTGAAAATAGGAAGGGAACAGGCAGAACACCTAAACTCAATGATACTAATGTTAAGTATCTCCATTTATGCAGCCTTCGGGACAGAAGGAAGACTGCAACTAATCTCAAGCATGAGATAAACGACTATGTACCAAATGATAGAAAAGTGTTCAGAACTACAGTATCAAGAAGACTCAATGAGAATGGAATATTTTGATCATGTAACAGTTATCTCCAAATATTGTCAGGAGACTAAAATTTGCTAAAAAGTACAAAACTGGACTGTTGATGATTGGAAAAGGGTGTTATGGATGGTTCAAAGCATAGGTTGTATGTCCGGCAGGAGAAAGGTGAAAGGTACTTACCTCAATGCATAGCACCTATCATGAAGCATGGGGGGAGGCAGTGTGATGGTTTGGGGGTGTTTTTCTGCTGAGGTGACAGGAGATATTTGCAAAATAGATGGTATAATGGACCAGCACAAGTACCATCAGATACTGATCCATCATGGTATACCCAGTGGGTTGCATATTATTGGTAAATGATTCTACTACTAAGAAGATAATGACCCCAAACACTCACCCAACCTATGCAAAAATTACTTAGCTAAGAAAGAAGCTGCTGGAGTCATTGAAATGATGCAATGACCCCCACAGAGCCCTGATCTCAACCCAGTTGAGCAGATCTGAGATTTGATAGATATTTGTAAAAAACTTGACAAATCAAAATTTACTTCCAAAGAAACTTTATGGGAGTGTATTTGAGACATTTGTAGTAAAATCCCAAAGGACACTTTGATTAAATATTTGCAACAATGCCTGAAAGACTGTATGCAGTTATTAAAGCAAAAGGTGGACACACTAAATATTAACTCTTTGCTGAACTCAAGCACTTACACTGAGTTTCTGTTGTATTAAATAAGATTAATAAAATTTTGATATTTCACCTGTGAATTACCTTCCACTGTTCTTTGAAAGTAGCCTGAAATCGAATTCTTGACTTTGTCCTCACACTTTTGTGCAGTACTATATAAATGCCAAACTTCACTTTCTGTATATTCCATGATGCTTCTCCAGTCCAATCTATTTAATTCAACATTTTCTGCAACTCTCTAAGACATTTTAACTTTCTTTGGAATTTTGCATTTACATTATACATATTCTCAAGCTAAGCTATCAATTTCTATCGAGAATTTGCCATCAATAAAACTTTTCCTTTATGGAAATATCAGCAATAAAGTACTGGTCAAATGTCTTGCCTTCCACTGAGCATCCTGCTTTCAAAACTTATCATAAATTCTCTCTGATGTTTGCTATTGTATTATTTGTAACCAATAAAAGGCAAATATTTCATTGAACTAACAGCTATAAGGTCTATAAGTCTGGGGCAGGGGAATAATAATTTCGACATTTGAGCATCGCTTTCTTTAAATATTGCTGTTGGGGCTCTGCCTGACTAGGTATGGGAATCATTTTAAGCCTATTCTATGTTAGTTAAAAAGTTTTAGAGCATTCTATTTTATGTATGTGGAAATATTTCATATTCTAAATTGAATAAAAAAAATTCTGAGGCCACATTATTAATAAATAATTGTAATTTTCTCTTATAATCTGCAGTCACTCTAGAAAGACAAAGGGGTAATTTAGATTTATTTTATATTTTTTGTGGTGGTTACAATGTCAGTAAAAAATGACTGAGTCTTTACATACAGTTAATAAAAGACACATAAAATACTTTTTCTTTAACATAATTTTACCAAAAATATTGAAACAAAATGTATAATTAGTATATTAAATGTGAAACAATTGATGAGGTTATTTCGGTATATTTAAGTGCTTTCTTTGTGTATTTCAGTAAATTTGGGCATTATTTTGGTATACTTCAGTGTATCTCATTATTACAATGGACTCCAACTCAATTCGCATTAAGACCACCCTCTCACTGAATGGACAGTGTTGTAAAATATTTTATTGTTTCAATGTCTGTGTTGAACCATTTTACTTCAGATATTTATTTAGACCAAAATTCAAACCAAAACCTACCTGAGAAATATGATGGGTGAAGTGGGACTAATGAATATGGATCATGATCTTCAGATAAACGTTGATGATGTAGTGAGAGAATATTTTAAGAGAAGCATTAGACATATATATATATGACAAAGATTGTTATTTCATTAAGTCATTGTATTTATATTGCTAATGACAGTCTACAGAGTTAAAGTGTTTTTCAGGGGGACTTTTACTGATACACGTTCAGTAAAATTCAGTATAAATTTCATTGCTTATTAATTTTCCAAGCGAATGGAACATTTATATATTTGAGGAATAATGGAATTAATGTTATCTTGTTTGTTTAATTTTGAATAATGGTTTTGTTTACAGTTTTGTGCACTAATTGTGAAATTATTTGTTTTTATATAGTCTCTTGTATATTTATAATATATGTTGCTTTTTTAAGCTTGAATTTGTTTATATACGAATTTGTATATTGACACCATTTTGAAATGCTGATTATTTTGTCGACAAGTGTGTGTATGTGTAATTTGTATATGATAAATATCAAAATACCGATGAATGTTTCAGAATTAACCTTATGCATATGTCAAATCACCCTAATGCATAAGAATTATGTTACTTTGAAGATTTATCAGCATCTTATACCTAAAATTACCAAGCACAACCCTAAAAAATTAAAAGCATTTGGAAGGTTAATAAGTGGAAATTTAAAACAAGCATGTTACGAAAACCTATATTTTCAGTGTTGACTATTGATCGAACCAGAGAATTTCCTGCTTCTGTTTCAGATTGTTAAACCACAAATATATTATTACTCTTATATGTGTGCCCTTTTATAGGTTGAACCCCACCCTTCAAAAAATTCTGTATCCACGCTTAGTTATCACCACGTTTTTAGTTTTCTGACTGGTCATGCAGTGCATGACATGCATGCTCTGACTATACGTCACTGAAACATGCCATTATAACCAAACTAATGAAAAAATTAATCATGGTTTTTGTAATGTGGATAAATCAGCTTTAAATCTTTACAACCGTTAATAAAAGTAATGTAAGTAGAAGACATGATTTACCATGTAAACTAATAATTACTCAAGTCTAATTATTGATTAATTACTAATCAGCTTATATTTTACTGCTAACCTTCTGCCATCTTCAGGAAAATCTTAAGAAGAACTGTGTTAATGGTGGTAGTGGCCAGCAGTTGATCATTGGTCTTTTGTATTTTGTCATTTTTGTGATCTGTTTTCATAAATTTATAAAAAAAACTGCACAATAAACTATGTATCACCTTTTTTGGTCTTGTAGGACTGCTGCTATCATTGTTTATGACTTGTCAAGGTAAGCTTGAGTTTTAAAAACAATAAGTTGCTGCAGCTTTCTAGTTCTTAGCTAATTTCTTGAACTGAGCCATTTTTGAACACAAGTAATCTAAAATAAATAGAACTTCATATTTAATTCTAGTAATAGTAGACTCACATAGTTATTTACTGAGGTTTAGCTAGTCAGTAAACTTGAAATAATTTTTAACATATACAAATCACAAAGTATGAAACTTCTGGTGAATAAATTGCAGTAATTTATCAGTCGTGTGGTTTTATCAGCTTCGAAAATTTTAGTTAATCTAAAATTAACACATTAAATGTCAATACAGGATAGTTATTCAATTGATATTTGTAACTAACATAACCCAAAATTAGTTACATGCATAGTCATTTTATAACACTTAAATAATTTACAAAAATAAGATAAAAATTTACTAGCTATATACACAATACAGCACTGCCTGTATCCATTTACAAACATAAACAGCATACTAATTTTTACTTCAGCACCTTACTATAATTTGTTTTGCCACCCAGTGACTAAGCTGTAAAACTGAAGGTTTATAACACTAAAAACTTTGTTTTGATACCCGTGGTGGGCACAGCACAAATAACTTAACAACAGACAGACATTTTTTTTTTTTTTGGAATATTGTAGGTTATTATAAAAACATGGTCCACTCATAAAAATAAGATTTTTGTCTGGTGCATGTATGTCACTGTTATTCAGTTAATGGCCTTAATTCCAAGTTATTTGGCTTTTAGCCAAAATATGATAAGTAGTAAACCAACTAGCCAGGAAATTATAAGTTTGGATTATTAAAGTTTGTTAGTTTTTGTGTTTATTTGTCCTCTAATTCCTCTTAGGCTTTTGCAGTTGGACCTATGAAATGTGGTTTGATCAACTAGGAATATTTGGGGATGTGTCAAGAAAAAGTTATTTTTCTTTTATAGTACATAGATTTCATAGCTCCAGTGATTGTAAAATATAGATCAGTTAAGGGTATTGATGGGATATCTCCAGTTTCCTCTTTCATTACGTGAGGTTTACATAGACTCCATGTACTTTCAATCATTACTGACATACTGAGGACAAAAACAGGAACACTGTTTATATTCATAACTGGTCAAACATTAATTCTGCAATTGCATTTCTTTTTAAATCCTGTTATTTTAAATAGAAATATATACATAGCAGCAGAGTACCAACATAGGCAGGTTTCCGCATACATATTAAAGATGTAGACGTAGATAAAATGAAACAATGACCCTTCCTTATAAAATCAATAAATGAATCATATAAATGATTTGTTAACTTCCATAAACTTTTCACCGTGCAATGCATGGGTACATTCATTAGTAACATGAAATGAATGTGCATATAATATTTCAAATAAAGTTTACTGTTCTTTGTTAGTTAATTAGACGTTTCAGGTATACATTGTTATATCATTTGAAAAGTAGTAGTTTTCGTTGTGGATTTTGTAACCAAAAAGAAAATCTTTAGCCAAAAGAATCATACATAAATACAATTAATTTACAAGTAATTTGAATAATGACCAAGATTTTGTAGGGAAAAGGTGTTTCAACTTTTTATTAATGTAACTTTTTCATTTGTTGTCTATTAGCTTTAAAGACCTTTCTTTCTTTCTCCTGTACATAAATTCATTGTAATTACGGTTATGAATATTTTTCATTTTCTTTATGATAAATACTTAGTGATTATACTTTAACAAAAATTGCATTTTGAAAACTTATCTTTGTTGTTTTTATATATGTCATTACAAAAGCAAAGTTTTGGGAAAAAAAAAACTTAATTAACAATGGGAATAGATTGCTTCAGCTCAGGATGTAAATTTGATTCTTCTGATTTTAAATTCTGTCTGAATGCTTAGCAGTTTTTGCATTTAAAGATTTTGTTTCTGTAGTTTGTTATTGGCTTGTATAAATAATCAAATAAACATTTTGTTATTCCTTCATAGGCTAACAACTTTAGAATCAGTTGTTAAGGTGAGTCATTTTATGACTTGTATATATATTTATGTGTATGATTAACTTGCATTAAGAGAAGCAATTTTTTGCACAGCATGTGCACAACATTGTAACTACATATATACAGGTCATCATTTGCATAAAGAGTTAAAAAACCTTAATGGGCCTGTGAAGATTCACGCCTTGCATAGATTTTGCTTATTGTATATTTACTTTCTGAAATTTAGATCAAACGTTATTACTTTTACTAACATGTTTTTGTTTTAGCTCTGTTAATTCAGATCCATTACTATGTAAATTTAAGCATTTATTTCTTTGTTTTTATTATAATTAAATAGCCTTTACTTTTACCATTGTTTTATATATCTTATACTAATATCAACATTCTTAATTCTCTGTGTCACAACTAAGGCAGATTACAAATAAAATAATTACATTGTTACTAATTCAGTAACTGAAAATTGTTTATGTTAAAATAAGGCCATAAAAGGCCATGTAGATGTGAAATTCAATAGAATTAGCATACAACAATTCTTACTTCCATGCTCAAGTTTTACTTTCTGAATAGCTTGTGAACAAAACTTAGCTCTTAAACTTTTTTTAGGGTTAAGTAAAATTTTCCTACAAACCCACAAGCGTAAAGCACTTTCTCTTTAGTGGACTTTTAGGCTGGTTTAGAAACAGTTAGAATAAAGAATAGTTCAAGATTTTATTTCTGCTTTTGATTGAAGTTTGTTTACTCTCTATCTCTCAAATAATAGATTAGAGAATCCAAGGTTTTTTTAGGTTTCTTAGTGTAATCTCTTATTCTTTTTATTGTAACTTTTCTTGCACATTTTTCATAAGAGTTGATGAATATTAGAGTAATAGGAAGGTAAAAACACACAACTACATAACATATGACATGGTCTTTATTATACATTATACAAAATATATGATGATTCTATATACTTTTTTTAAATAAAATACAATATATATATATATATATATGGGACACTATCTGTTCAGGAATAATAAAAAGTAAATGGTTTGTTATTTTGTGTAATATTGGTTTATTTTTCCAGTGGCAGAAAGATGTTATAGATAAAGTTACTTTGCAGAATGGACAACCAATTCCAATAATATTGTTGGCAAACAAGGTAAATTTCAGACCATTACATATGCATTAAGTTGCTGTAATGTAAAGTTTCATTTTATGCACCTAATGATAGTTATTTAGTTTTCAGGCATCCATAGAATTAAAGTGTTTTAGAATAATGTATATATGTGTGTGCATATATTCTTAAATATAGTTCTTATTTTTAAAAGAAATATTCATAATTTGAATTTTTGGACAAATAATTGTGCAAAACTTTAAATAAATTTGATGGAAATACAATTGACACTAATTATCAATTCATCTTGACTAACTCTGCACCATCCAGCTAAGTCCACCTTGTCCCAAAAGCAAAATTACACTCTGAAATGTTTTTTAACATAAACTTGTTGTTATTCTTCCACACATTTTTTTTTTAAATTCTTCAGAGGTGAAATTTATTCAGTATAAAGCTATATATTTGTTTAATTTTATACACACAAATTTTTAAAATTCTTAGTTTTATATTTGGTTGATTTTGGCAAACTCAAAACTAAAACATTAATGTTTGTAAATTTCTCTCAATTTTGTTCAACAAATCAGGCACTCATAATCTCTGGAAGAAAAGTTAAAACAGTTTTGAACACAATACTACCAATTTGAACCTTGTAACTTCAATACAAGTGCAGTTTTATTGATTTTAGCCAATGACTGTTTATTAGCCTTGATTGTCATGGTGTGAAGTAATTTCCTGTATCTCATCTTTGATAAGTCGTAGGTTAGTGATCTAAATATGTAATGAAAGGTCTTTTTCTGCTATTTTCAATTGTGTAAGCCAGTTCAGCAGTAACTCGTGTAGAAATCAGAAGAAAATAATAAAAAGCTTAGATTTGTGATACATTGCTAGAAGAAAAAATATTTGTGAATAACTTCCATCACTATTTCAGTTCTGGTTCTTTTCTTAAAAGCTTGCTTTACATTTCATTGGAATGATAATGTGGCAGTATGATAGGAAAAGGAATGTTTTTTATGTAATAAGATGAGCTAGGCTTAGTTAGGTCATTTTGCACTAGACCATATCAAATTTAATTTCACTCTCAGTATTGTTGATTGTTAGGCCATGTTTACATTAGGCCTTATCAACTTAAGTAACTGCTTTAATAGGTAAATAAAAGCACTGAAAAGAAATCTAAAAAACACACATAAATGAGTGTGAAATTGGTTTAAACTTATCACTTATATTAATTGAAATCTTCTGACTAACAGTTAAAAAAGTTTGCTTGCTTACACTTTTCTGTGGTAAAAATTTATTTTTATTGAATGCTAGTGACCATAAAAACAGTGAAACTGTGTGCATTGTTTTTCAAACCAAAACAATGATCAAATTTACTATTAAAATAAAAATTATATTGAAAAGTTTAACAGGAATGTAAAAAGAATAAAGAATTCGTAACTGAAGCTACAATAATGGTAACCTTTTTCAATTGTTTCCTTAAAAAAGATTTACAAATGAAATCTTTCCAACTTTTCAAAGATGCAAATTCATACAAATATCTCGTATAAAAAGAATATTTTTGTAGCAGCTACATAATCTACAAAGCAACTATACAAATGCATCACTCTATGCACCAGGTCACTTAAAAGTTAATCTATTATATTTAAACTTGACTTACTTAAATCTGTTTTTCAGAAGGTGTTTTCACAATGCATTCAACAGCTATACAAAACTTGAGTTGTCACTCAGTTTTAGAGAAATCCCTAGTGGGAAAGTTTGGTCAGTGAATAATAAACTAATTTAGAAAGATTTTTTTTCTCCTATAAAATAACACCAATTTGTATGAGTTGAATCCTCATTAAATATATGTAAAATTATGACTTAATGTAACCAACCTATATTTTTCTTTCTTCATTACTACATATGATTTAAGTAACTGCTGATTCACTCCAATGCAAGCTAAAGATTTTTCTGATTTACATATAAGTACTTAATATATATATAAGCTTAAGTCATTTCACACATTTAGAAGAAAATATTTATAATTTTTAGGCATCAAAATCTGCTAAAAATGTGGATTTTTTTATTTCAAGGATGAACATCATTTTCTGGTATTATGTAACATTACATACTTAGTAATAAACCTGGCATAAATACCTTAACATTTGTGTAATGTCATTAGTAGATATGTGATATTTTGTTTAAAATATTTAAATATACTTTACTATCAACACAATTTATATCTTTTTTTTTTTTCTAGTGTGATATTGAAGGTATTTCAATTAATTGTGAAATGTTGACAGAATTTTGTAAACAACACAACATCTTAGCTTGGTTTTTTACTTCAGCCAAAGAAAATATTCATATTGGTGAGTACTAAATAATTTAATGATCGTTTGTTTAATTTTTGAACAAATGCAGTCAATAACATGTCTTACAGTATTGAAAAAAATTGTTTATATATATAGACTAGGCTCGCAGAACTGAGTTATGAATTTGATCCAAGAGTTTATGAGAAGTTACAATGATTTTGTGTGAATTTCTTTCATTTTTTAATGGTACCTATTTGATGAATGTGTGAATAATATTTTCTGATCACTATATATATTTTGTTTGAGAGACAATCTGGCAGCTGGGATTGTGCTATCATTAAATGTAGTAGAGATGTGTTTGACTAGAGTTTTAAGGTAGATGACATTTGATCTGTATAATGAGACTTTCATCAGTTTTAAAAAACATTTTCATAAAGGTCAAAGCATATTAAATTTCAAAATTTATAGAAACTCAGTCCATAGAATATTTAAGACATTTTAGGACATTAAAAGATCTCAGATTTACTTCAGTGTCTATTACAATGAATTTATTAATGCTTTTTTTTTTGCCTATAACATGCAAATATTAACTCAAATGAAAAATGGTAACAATCCATATTCTTGTTTTTTAGGTCATATATATTAATGTAAAAATAATTTACAAAGTTTCACATAATAACATAATTGTATACAGATCTTGTAACCTAACGTTTTAGATATTACTTTAAATGTTTTCATGTTTATGATTGTAATTGATGAAATTAGTGTCCTATTTCTTTAATACTAGTTCCAAGCTGTTCACTCTACTGGTTCACAATATATCTATGAAAGAGCATTATTTGAAACAAAAATGACTTAATCACTAAGTGAAAATCACTATTTTTATTCACATTGATCATAAGCCTAACTGTTATCCAAAATGATCTGTTAGTTTTGATCAACCTTCAACAACATTTTTTTGTGTTATGTTAATTATTAAAAGTTGACAACCATTACAGATGAAGCCATTGAATATCTGGTGGAGAATATCATCTACCAAAGATCTGATTTCAATCATCCAAAGGGACACAATCACATCAGCCTAACTCATAAACCCAATTATAAAAAGGTGAAATGTTGTGGAACATGAGCATCATTTTAAACAGACCTTGTATGTAGTTGGCTATAATGATTGATTGCTGTATGATGATTAACAGCAAATTTATAGAGCTGATGACAGTCATGCTTAGGTCCTAGAGTGAATTTTAATTGGTTGCGAAGCTTTTAGGTACAAAATGGACTATAAGTTTAGGTTTGAGGGCATGGAAAATTAAAAGAATTAATGGTTAGTGACTGAGGACTAAGTTTGTATGTCTTGATAAAAATTGGAAAAAAGCTTGTTTGTGATAATGTTGTGATAATTATTACATTTCATTAGTATGCTGAATGTCTGTATTAATTGACATTATTCTATGTTATGAAACTTTGGTTGGATATTTAGTTAGGTGATTTAAATCTGTCGTTACATTTTGTCTGGTGACTTCAGAGTAGGCTCATTGTAATACCAGATTATAGAATTTTATGTGTATGTTTAGATAAGCAATTTTCTTTTTTGTTCAGCCTCCTACTTGTGGTAAAAATCTTCATTTTATATAGGTTTAAGTACTTAATTTTCATTCACTTTCAAAACAAGAACTAGGATAAATATTATTTATGAAAAATTAAAAATGTTCAGAATTAAAAATAGAAAAGATATAATGTATATGTTAATGCATAAACACCTACTTTTCAGGAAATTTTTCAGGGTCACAAATTAGTAAGGTTGTTATCATGGAAAGAAGGTTTTTTCGAACATAAAGGGGAAATGTCTTGGTATTTTTTATCATCAATGTGTTTGGAAATTGATAATGATTACTCTTCAACAACTTGGAAGATGATTGTGATTAGAATTGTGTGTAATATCATGGTCTTTGGTCCTAGTACAAAGTGTTTAGGTGTGTGGTTTCCTTCCAGTATATGTTTCTAGAATGGTCATTTTCTATCTCATGATCACACGTATTTGTAAATAGGTTTCATATGTAATGGTAAAATTGCTAAGTTACTTAAAAGTTTTCCATGAATAGAAACATGGCTCTTTTCACACTGTATATACACACTAAAGTTAAGATTCTTTTATTAGAATGTTCATTATGAGAAGTTGTATTCTACTTTGATGTTTTAAAGTGCTATAATACAGTGCTGGCACTGATAAAGTATTTTATTATTCAAGTTATTTTTAAAGAAATGTCATCATGCTAAAGTTATAAACACAATTCTTACACCTTGTCTAAAGAAATGATTTTGTTAGTAGCACGATTTTTGTTGGTTTAAGTGTGTAAACAAAGTATATTATCAGTTATAAGTTGTTATTTTTATGAGAACTTTGTATATTTAATTTCTGTTTCAATGCTGAAGTAGCACATAGAATCACAAAATTGTAGTGTGCCTTTTAAAGATGGATAGAAGACCTAATGTATGCTGGCATGCTGAAGGGTCTGGTGTTAAAATATGTTTCAAAGTATTTCTCACATTTTTAATTTATCCTTTTATAAAAAAGATAAGTTGTCTAGCATAAGTCTTTTGTTGCTTTCATTTGTGTACAAGTAGCTGATATTCAATTAAATGATATTTCTGTTCATGCTAACTAGTAATCACATACTGCAAAATACTCCCAGATAATCATGTTTTTACACTGCAGAATACTGCCAGTTGACCTTGTGTTTTGAATTTGATCATGATGTTGTCAGGTTTCTTTAGTTAATGTTTGAAACATTGATACTAACAAGGAAAGCCTGTTAAATTTTCCAATTCTGGAATTTTAAATTATTCTCATGGATTTTTTTTTCTACAGTTGCTGCTTAATTTTTTACTAGAATATCTCAGTTTAGAAATCTTATATTTCTATATTCCTGAATTAAGAACGTAAGCAACATTGATACTAACAAGGGAAGCTTGTTAAATTTTCTAATTCTGGAATTTCAAATTATTCTCATGGATTTTGTTTTTGTACAGTTGCTGCTTAATTTTTTACTAGAATATCTCAGTTTAGAAACCTTATTCATATATTCCTGAGTTAAGAACATAAGCAACTTGGTTACTAACATAAATTCTAAGAACTCGTGATTGAAAGCAAATGAAATTATGTTATAGTATGTCAACCACAATACTTCTGTTTATCTAGTGTTGATGATTCCTTTTGTTCAAAATGCTAATCTGTTTCTCTTGTGCTTGCATAGTTAGCATTATCTTGTGAGCATTTATCAAAAGCTAATAACACTGCATTGTTGAAGTACTTGGAGGACATGTATATACATTATCATTTCTTGATTTTTTTTAAAATGAAATCATTGTTAAAACATAATATTTTATTTAGATTGATTATTATTAGCAACATTTTTCCATAATTAACGTGTATATTTTATAGTTCTTCAGTAAATTTATAAGCAAGCTGTTTTTAATGTTTCATTTATGGATTTCTTTGAAAGAAGAAAAATTTAAATCTTTGAGGAAAGTAATACATGGTTATATTAGCAAGTTTTTAAAACTGGATACAGAATCTTGTTTATCTCTTGTCACTCTCATAGAATCAAAAAAAAAAGTTTTCTAAAATTCTCTTCTTAATCCAAAAGTTTAAAATTTAACACTTATCAATCAATTCAAATTTCGTTTGTGCTGACATTTTTTGAAATATCATATTAGTCTGATCAACAAATAATGCTTCCAGTTCATCAATCATGAGTACGTTTACATCTGTACTTGTTCTAATTAAAGAAACCTCAGTCTGTTTATCAGCAGACTCTCTTATATATGGAAAATGTGCTCATCCTTGGCCTTGTTTCTAAGAATATGCGTGATTATCTACCTTTCTATCTGTATATTATAATTCACATCTCTTTCTGTCACACCTTTTCATTAGGGTTTTTTTTTTTTAGAAATATGTAAATGATTTAAGTGTAAAGAATTTGTAGAAATAAAAGTTTTTTTAATGTACAATAGAATAACTTACCAGTATTAATTAAATTGTATTGATTTCACATGTATGTTGTTTTTTCACCCTTTTTGTTTTGTTCTATTACATACAAATATCTTTGCTGACCTCTTTAACTATTAAGCGTTGGATATTATTTGTTTAGTATAGCACGCAGCCTGTGTACTGTTCATGTTTCTGTGTAATCAAAAGTTTCAAATTTTTTGAATGTATGTTTATGATAGATGTTCTTTGAAATATTCTGTTATTCTACTACTGTCAAGTGCATCTTCCTATATTTTTTGTGTCTTCCCTACTTTAATTCTTGCTTGATTTTCAGTTTGTGCTTACAGTACGTTATTTAATAAAAGAAATTATCAACTTTATACAAATTAATCTACTTTACTGGATCTACTGAATGTTTCCCAAATATTATACTTTCATATTGCTTTGTTTTATAACCTATTTTGACAAGAGTTTTTCAGGTTACCAATCAACCACTGTTGCTTTATAATCTGCTACCATAAATAACATTAGGCTACTGTAAATCACTGTTGTTTTGTAATCTGCTACCACAAGTAATCTTTAGTTTACTGTAAACCACTATTGTATTACAACCTGCTATCACAAGTAATCTATAGGTCACTGTGAACCACAATTACTTTGTAATCTGTTACCACAAGTAATCTTCAGATTATTGTGAACCACCATTATTTTGTATTCTGCTACCACAAATAATCTTTAGGCTACTGTGAACCACCATTATTTTGTAATCTGCTACCACAAGTAATCTGTAGGCTACTGAACCACCATTGTTTTGTAATCTGCTACCACAAGTAATCTGTAGGCTACTGAACCACCATTGTTTTGTAACCTACTACTACACTTTAAACCATCATTGTATTGTAATTTACTAACACATGTAATTTTCAGACTACTGTGAACCACCATTGTTTTGTAATCTGCTACCACAAGTAATCTGTAGGCTACTGAACCACCATTGTTTTGTAACCTACTACCACACTTTGAACCATCATTGTATTGTAATTTACTAACACATGTAATTTTCAGACTACTGTGAACCACCATTGTTTTTAATCTATTCTGACAATTTTATTTTAGGTTATAGTAGACTAGCTTTGTTTTGTTTGTTTCAGTATGATTGGAGAATCAGCCAAACAAGGTTCAGAGATTATCCTTTACAAATCATCTCTCTTTAGGTTATTAGTATAGAATATGGACATAAGGATCTTAAGCTGTTTCCTAATGTTCACACAAAATATGTGACAGACAAGTGTTTTCTTAAAAGAACTTTTTATTTCTCAGTTTGAAACTTTAGTGAGATTAAACGTTTACAAAGAAAAAACTATAGATTGACATGTTTAATCATCCTCAACTCTATACCTAAAATGCACCTACTGAATTACCCTAGAAATTTAATAATGTCAGTTAGCTTATTTTTTTGGTTCTGTGCCAAGCAGTGAAATACAATATAGCCCATTATATACCTTATTCCGTCCTAAAGTCAACGATTTTTTTTTTACTTTGGCCATACAGAAAGTATTTGAAATAAACTATTTCTATGTATGAAAATCAAATTGTAAAAACGTAGAATTATATTTAAAGTAAAACAAGTATTGAGTAGTATATATGTATATATACTGGTTTGAACTCTCCATTTCTGTAGAGTATTTTTGAAGCAAGTATCACCATCTGGCAAGGATGGATAATGTTCCTATCAGTATAGTTTTCTTTAAGATCTTTTTTTTAAATAACTTGACCTATGCATTTCCGTCCTGTTTGTTGAAAAGCACTATATATATATATATATATATGTATAATGGCATTTTGTATAAGAATAAAAGTAGCATTAAAAAAACACATTGTAGACCATTTCTTTTCTTGTTACCACAGTAGTTATTAGTCTACATGAATTTTTTTTTCTGATATTTTTCTGTTACTATTGTTCTGTGCTAAAATCTAGTTCTCTTAATTCTTTTGAATATCTTAGATATCTAATCATCCCTCCCACCCCAATGGGACAGCAATAAGTATACAGATTTACAACACTAATATCCTGGTTCGATTCAGCAGATAGCTCAATGTGTCCTTGCTCTTAAAACAAACATACATGATCACTTATTTAATTAAATTTAAAGTTTTGAAGAACAAGATTTATTGTTTCTAATGTATTCTGTGCTTTTGTATTTTAAAGTACAAGAAACTTATTAATATAATAAGACAGTCTCTAGATTTATATCAAGAGAATGGGAACT